ACAAAAATTATTTTCAGATCTGGATTCAGCAAAATTGTTCTTTCGTATGTATAAGAAAATATGAAATATAATTTTTCTTCTAATTATAAATGACGTTGAAGAAGTCCGTTAAAATGATATATAACTATAAAGGACTAAACTTATAAAATCTCCATAAAACCATCACTATTCAATCGAATACGAATATGAATACTGATACAAAGATTTCAATAAACGGTCAGAAAATCTTATAAATTTTCTTTAGTGTCATAAGCTCTGACGTTTACAAACTTTTTCTGTTCTATAAATCGTGTATGTACATAAGCTATCCTAGAATTTATGATTTTCTGATAAATCCGATAGCCAATATTCTTTTTTAAATCCTTTGTCTTTATTGCCTTTTGCTTTATAACCGCATTCTTTTATATTTATACGCTGTAGACTTTAATTTTTTTTTAATCAATTACGGCCACAGAAAAGAATAAACGCAACGATAAAGCTGTTAAAAAAAAATATTGCATTATAATAGGAAACTGGTCTGTTAACGTAATATGGATTATGGCGAGTAATATAATTACATTTTTTTTTACACACACAGATGTTTTATATTAATACGAAAATACATGTACATTTATTTTTAACTATTTTTTAATCCATTTTTTAACAAATACAGTTTGTATTTTCCATTTCCAAGATTTTTCTTACACTGTGAATTTTGTTTTGATAGAAAAAAAAAATTGTTATATGATATTAATTTCATTCAGCGTTATCGATAGTGAAGTTATTATTTACGGAGCTTTGAAAACAAAAACGATGAGCTTGAAGGCATTAATTTGTTCCGGATCAACGCCAACATAATTTTGCCGTAACAATGCCGGCACGTACGATATTCATAAGCGCGTTTTAATCCATCTCGCTATTAAGTGCTAATTAGTGCTGTTGTGGGCTGTTTTATTATTTAATTACAAAATATAATACGATTATATCTTGCGTTCACCATTATTATGTACAATGTCCAGGTTTGTCACTTGAAAACTGCGTTCGCACAAGGAAATACTGCACGTGTTTAGATATTACCTTTACAATAATACTTGCTTCGTTTAATTGTTGCGGAAATTGCCATATTTTTTAGAGTTTTTTTTTTGTTACGACATCAGAAGCCAGAAAAAACACTTTTGTAGCGAATTTACTTTCTCTCATAATTTAAAGCGAGAAAATGTTTCGCTTGCGTTTCGTGACTGAGTCACGTGCTTGATCGATCGTAAACCTGAAGGAAGAAAGCGAGCGTCGTTCGAGTGTTTTCTCGTAGGTACAATTTCTTGTAGGTAGCAGCGAAAAAATCTCGCATATATCTACTAGAATTTATTAATACCTTTTCACTTTCAGGATTTAGAAATACTAGATACATTTTCGGTCGGATATATTTCATGTCCAGATATTCGTGCATCATCGTGATTCATACTGCGTCTGACAGTTTGGAAAACATCAGCGATATTATGTACCTATAAATGATGTGAAAGATTTTAAACAGAAGATAAAAGACAAACAATAGCTATATTATAATTATTACATTAAATTAGTAAAAATATAACACTGAATTTTTTAATCAACGATCATGATGCACGCAAAAATACAATGTTTATAATGCGGCCGAGCAGAAATGCTAGCGGTATAAACGTGAATTATAGCGTAAATTAATACTGGAAATGTTATCTATTTATATTTCGTTAATGTGACAAACAAAACTGACAATGTGTTCATCTTTTTGTTTTCAGATTAAGCAACATTGCGTTATTTGCGGTCCGAAAGCGAATGGTAATAACCTGGGAGCATTAATCATCCCCAGCATCTCTCGACCGTCGTAAGTGTATATTCTGTATGTTTGTACGTTTATAAACAACAGTCTGAAATTAAATTAACTTCCGAGTTGAGAGGTCGAGCGATCGCTTGTATTTCCGCGCGGCGCCGTACCCGCGCACTTGCATTTTTGATTCGAACTTCTTATTAAAACAACGCGCACACAAACACACACACATATACACGATGACGTGGCGCGCCGCCCGCGCCGCGGGCGTAATTCTACGCCGCGCTGATTCACGATAACATATCGAAATTGCGAATGTGCCAACAGAAACGAAAGCTGATATCATCGATCCGTTACCTAGAAATTTACCTACCGGCTCGTTATCGGTTATTATCGTATACGGAGCGGAGTACTCGACGCATGATAAATCAATGACTCGCCCGCCCCAGATAAGACTGAGCGTATCGGTTACTCCATATATTTGATTCAGCACTCTTATCGCTGTTCCACCACGGATATTGCCACATACGGCGATTAGATGCTGGTCTTGCGTCGCGCGCGCGCGCGCGGTTCGAAACGCGTTTCGTATCGGTGAAATATGAGGGTGAGATGATACATTTTCGATACACAGGTCGAATGGTGAAACGATGGTTGACCGAGCGCAACTGTGTTGAAAACTATTGCGCGTGGCACACATTCCGGGAAATTTCGCGCCTGCGTTTCTCGATCAATAATAAATCGCGCGCGACCCTGCTGATGGAATATTATATATGTACTGTAAAAAATTTTTCGATTGTGATACCCAGACCACGAAGATTTATCTGCTCACTTATTCGACCGCGCTTCGTGGATATATCAGATTTAACCAGATTTTGTCACCGAGATGACATGATTTCGTCGAGTGCACACTGTGAAAAAAAACTCGCGCGCCGAACTCGCGCGCGTATTTTTCAGTTTTACGCCGAGCACGGGCGCCGCGCGCCAGTTCGGAGAGAATACGTATTGCGACGTGTTGCATTCGCAACAATGCATGCCTGAGCGAACTCGGATGTGGCACGGTACTCGCGTTTGTCGCATTTAAAAAAAAAAGATCGATCGAGATCGAGCTCTGTCGAAAGTGACGATTGTTTTGTGTCAAAATTCTTGCGCGATCGCGTATGGAATACATTTCCCACGAAGAGACGGGCAAAATTGTTAGTTGACATGATGAGAGAGAAAGCATACTAAAAATGCATCTCCAACGAATATCTGATAATTTAGGTTCATATTATTGTTTCTGTGATTACGCCTGACGAAAAATGCCCGAACGAGTTCAACGTACATACCTGTATGATTCGATTGCTGTTCTATCGCAAAAATAACAGTACCTATAATGAGCGTAGAAATCAGTTTCGAGCAGGGGCTCCAATCTATGAAGCGAGCGAGCAATTTGCTCCGCACAATATTTGATGATCGACGTCGGATCGGGACCGAGATCTGATTGGCGGTAAGGATAACTAATTTCGCAATAATTGACATCAATTAGGGCCGATATTCGCGGTGAGAGATAAATGATTGGCGTTAGTCGGCGCCATCTTCTCTGACGTAGAAAAACTCCGGACGCAGTCACACGAGAAACGCGATAACATAGATGTCCATTCGTAGATGCGCATGCATCATATTTAGCTGCTAAATGTGGATATGCTGTATGAATACCTAAATATACCCCCTACCCATTTATCTTTCTGTTCGCTCCCAATACGAACGAAAATCCGTACAGATTTCGCGGGCTTTGTAGGAACTGTCGGCATGTCACGCGGCAAATTGTTTAAAATTCTGCGCTCGGTCGGGCGGTGCTGAATTCAAAAGGCCGCCGTTGTAAATTGCCCGGACGCACGCGGCCCCCGTGTACCGGCCGGCGGCCGGTTGTCGGCCGCCTCTGTATGTCCAGAAAATATCGCCACTCCGGAATATTTTTGGAATTGCGTATATACTCTCGCGCGCACGACGAGACGAGACGAGACGAGACGAGACGAGAGACCGACCCACCGACCAGGAACGACTCCCGAGAGCCGGAAGCTCTCGTCCAGTCCCAGTCGCCGTCGACGCCGCGCGCCGCGCCGGTTGCAGCAATTCGGCGTATATATTCTGAAATTTGCTGTCTAAATTTTACCGGCAGCACGACCGCGTCCGGAATGCATGCTCCCGCGTTGTGCCTTCGGCCGGAAGACTCGCCTCGTGTTCCAGAGGCCGTGCCTTGTGTACATAATGTAATTTGCGAGACAAATTCACATCTCAAACGGATGGATACGGCACGGGTATGTGCAGACGCGATTTCACATTGCTACTGCATGTCTGAAATCCGGTACATTTCGAGTTAATTAATTCGCATGACACTCCGGAGTTCCGGACATTCGAATGGATCCGGTCTCGTCGAATTCTGACCATTGCCGATCGCGGAATCGGATTACACTCGACGTTTGTCTCTAATTTTCTTGGTTAAGGCAACATCCGCGGTCTGATAATTTATGATGATTCATGCGGCGTAAGCCTCTAATGGACTTAACATTGTGCCGTAGATATAGATATAAAGCGGATTTAGGGCGAGTTAGAGTCTGGAAAGGTATTCAACGCGAAGCCGGAATCCCTATGGGATTTAGTACTGGCGCTGTGGTTGATTACTTTCTCAGACATTCTTAAAGTCTTTCTTTGCTGTGGCGCAAACTTAACTTTATTAGCAAATACGACCAATATGAGGAATTAAGTCTAAAGTTAGCGGCATGTTGGTATTACAAAATGTGATTTGAAGCTCGAATAATAATATTCTCGCGAGATTAGTTAATTAGATTAAACATTATTATTGGAAATTGAATATATATATATATGTATATATACTCAATATATTATAATAATGCGCGCATTAGTCTTAGAGCACAAATTTCTCACAATGTAACATACATTGATGTGCTCGTGCGCGGTAATTATGTTATACTGCAACATTACGTTGTATACAATACACTTATACACACACACACACACACACATATACATATGTATATGTATTATGTGCAACGTAATGTTGCAGTATAACAGTCTTAGATAATATAATCAACACGCGCAAGCACCTCAACGTATGTTACATCATGAGAAATTTGTACTCCAAGACTAATTAGAGATAATTTTGCGTCCAACAATTTCAGGTCGATTTAGTCCATCACTTTGAATCCTTGAGATTCCTTGAAATTTGCAGCGTCTAAATATAAACTCATATATTTCCCAAGTGAATAATTGATTACTATTCTAATTCCGAGATTTCTCGTACGTAACGTTTATTTGATTAATATTGGACAGAAGATTCTATTCCGTAAGTTTAACTTTCGATATCGAGATGGAGACCAAGAGATTCAAGAATAAGTGGGAAGCGCGGGCAAGCTGAACAACTTGTAAAATAATGGGCGTACGAACGCGCGAAGTCACGGCGTCGCGCCGATCTCGGGAAAGAGTCGTCGGGGCGACACGTCGTATCCCCTCGGAATATCCGGCTGCAACAAATCGCCTAATCAGGTGGATATATGACGGATGGAGAGGTGAAATTGGTTCCTGGCCGCGAGTAAATCTCGCGTGTGTCAAGGTGGGAGAGACGGGAGTGGCCGACGACGACGGCGACGACGACGGGGGGAAGCCCGGGGAGAAAGAAGGACGCGCCAGATCGATTTCCTGCGGGATTTATGCCACTATTTTTTATCCGGTCCCGCTCGCGCGCGAAGACGTCGTGCACCGCGTTACGGTGAGCGCGGCGTCGCGTCGAGGATACTGTCTCCCGGCTTGCCGTTTTTCAGAGAGCTCCCTCGCGTCTCCGTTTCACTGCGCTTTTGGCACGCGCACTCGAATGTATACCCTCGCGACATTAATGCGACGGCGAACATCGAAAGTCGCGAAAGTTTTAATCAATCCGCCCCGATGACTCTTGGAATTCAGGTCGCTACGCGCGTTATCGTACCCCGTTACCGTGTCCGAAACGAAACTTTGCGCGCCGCGTCGCCCGAAATGGGCTTACGCTGCTCAAATTAAAAAAAAATGGCTCATTGAGTTGCCCCGGTGTTCGCGGAGCCGTGCGAACCGCATACGAGCCTTTGTGCGCGCGGCTCGTTTTTTAACCGGGCACCATATTTCCAACGTCAGCGTGCTCACGGTACGAAGGTTGATGCAGTTAACCTTCGTGCATAAGATCGCGTGAGTTTTTAATGTGATTCTCATGCTACGCGCTAGTTTCCCCATTGAAGCTACGGTGGTTTCCACCCTGCCGCGCAGCATTCCGCGGCACGCATTAGTCGGGGAAAACTTTGCTTTATACTTTCCCGCTCGTTTTATTATCTCGACACGTTGCAGTATCACGGAAAATTTCGAGTTGCTGATGTATCCTTTTTATTCATACGTTTGCTCTTTAAAAATATTACCTCCTACCTATATTTAGAAGTCTTCTTCTATTTGTCCGTTGATCAAGTATTACTACTCTTATCGCCACTTACTGGCTCTAATCGCAGTTTTATTTGAAAGTAAGCGCCGAAGAATTATCCTCTCTATCCACGCTGGAACAAATCGTTGAATTTTATCTTAGCGTACGCGGTTTTTTTTTCTCCTGAAACCTCCCGAACGCATCGCTCGAATACACTCGATATTCGCGACAATTGGTTTTCCTTCGTTTCTCGTTCGCGGTAATCGGGTTTGCGTAGCGAGCGCAGTTATCCCGATAACGTTGTATAATAATCGGGGGCGGTCGATGGTGCTACATAATATGACCGGATCGAGGACGATTAATGAACGGCAAGTCGGTGCCCGCGTATCCAGATATAATTTCGGCTCGAATTCGCGCGAGCGAGCGCGAGCGCGGGGAACGGCGCGGCGCTAACAGAGGAAACGCTCTCTCCGCCGCGGACGGTGAGCGCGGAGGATGCGATTTATCACTCATCGGTGAAAATTGGCTGTGACGGTATGGTGCCGCTGGTGCCGTATAATTGCGCGTATGTATATTCGTCAGCCCTCCCCCTCCTCCCTTCCCCGGTCACCTCCCCGTGGCT